ATATATATATATATATATAAAAAGATAAGAAAAATAAGAGTAATTCAAGCCTTGCCCTGTGCAAACAAAATTAAAATGGGACCATGCCGGTGGCAGAAAGGTCCCGATTGAGTTAACACAGTCAGATTGTTATTTTTATTTTTAGCAGGGTGTTTGGGAGGGCAGATTCTTCCTGCCTCAAAGCAGGGAGTGGGGAAGGAGGGGAGAATGGTAGACCCCTTTACAAAAATAAAAGGGGCAAGGTTCAAGCCTTGCCCTGTGCAAACAAAATTAAAATGGGACCATGCCGGTGGCAGAAAGGTCCCGATTGAGTTAACACAGTCAGATTGTTATTTTTATTTTTAGCAGGGTGTTTGGGAGGGCAGATTCTTCCTGCCTCAAAGCAGGGAGTGGGGAAGGAGGGGAGAATGGTAGACCCCTTTACAAAAATAAAAGGGGCAAGGGTTTTGTGGGGTGGCGGAAGAGGAAAGTCAAAAAATAAAACTAACAAAGTCTGACTGTCCTAGGCGAAAACATGGCAGACGAAAAGAAAGGTTGTTAGTCAAGTCATGGATGATCTTTTAAATTACTCTCTCTGTTTTAAAGTCTAAAGTTTGGAAGTAGTGAGCTCCCTGTTAAAGAGCCCTGGGGAAATAAAATAGACTCCTGGCCCTCCCCCGCCCCGTCTCCTTTGAAGAAATCATGTTATCTTCTGCTGGATCTTGGAAGAGCGCCCCCTGGTGATGGGATCCACCAGCACTCAGGATGACAGCGTGGTTTCCTTCTGTGTTTGCTGTGCTTGTGAACCTTGCATCACCTTTTGGCTTTCCACATCTCTAAAGTGTTTCTCAACCTGCCGAGGGGAAGAGAAAGGGAAAAGCTGGATCAACGTTACGGGATTTGAATTGTACAGGGTCATGGGGGCGGTGACAAGAGACTTTTGCTGCAACCAGCGCCATGGGATTTGCAGAGCGGACAGAGATTATGGGCGCACGCTGCACCTCCTCCGGCCTGGCAGATCGGAGGCTGCCAACAGTTCGGAAGCCAACAGCTCTACTTGTCCTACACGCCGGTCTGCAAGGAACAGTCTCAGTCACACGCAGCGCGGAATGGCAAGGCCAAGGCTCAGACCCTCCCCAGAGGCCAGAGACATCACAACTCCCTTAACCGCTTCTCAGCCTGGCTGCTGTCAGTAAAACCTGGGGGAGTGGAAAGCAGAGTCCAACCATGTCCGTGGCCTGGCTCCATAGAGACTCCACAAGGAACGCTTACAGGAGACAGTGGGCCATAAGTGGGAGACACTAGGGATGTTAAAATGCATTTAATTAATTAGCTGTGTAACCACTGAAAACGTTACACGCACATGGGGGGAGGGGGGGCGCCAAGCTGCTCCCCATGCACACCGGGAGCCTGCGTGTAACCATGAAGATTAACTGATGAGTCCAGGCTTGGCCCCCACAGGTATCTCACTGGGAATGCGAATGGCTAACTGGTAAGTATCACCTTTACTGGCCACGGTTAACTGGTTGGAGGGGGCATAAGCGGTTAATGTTTAACTGGCTGACTGATAAAACAGGACTTCATATCCCTAACCTACACAGTGGCACTCACCCTCCCCTCAACTTACTATTTTGCGTACATGACTCAGGGCACTTCCCTCCTTGCCTTTGCAGTTTTCCACTTGGTAGGGAGGAGCAATAATGACGTCTTCCATCACCACTATGTTCTTTTCTTGCCATTTACAGTCTTTAATGCTGGGAGAGGCAGAAACAAGGCAGATTTTACTACCACCAGCCCGTCCTCACCCCCACCCACTGCTGCCCAGCACTTCCAGAGCCAGAACACTCCCTCTCGCACCCACTTCCTCCCCTCACCCATGGACTTAGGTCCCTTCACTGGCACAGGAAGTGCTGAACCCAGATCACTGCCCACATGAACAATCCTCGGGGTGTGGTTGGGCCAACAGTCCGTCATCACTGAAGATGCAACCAGCACCTACAGGGAAGAGTTATGGAAGCGGCATGCCAACGAGGGATGTGTCTGCAGCAAGAGATGCACACTGCCCAGAGCCAGCGTTGGGGGCTTGCAGTTACAGTCACCCCTGTTACAAGTTGTTCTGCCAGGCAGAGATGCAAACCCTTGCTGCTGAGGTGCCACGGAGCTGCCTGCATTCAGAGGAGCGGGAGAGCTCCCACGGACCTGTGATACTAGACCAGGCCTCAGGCTGGCACAGCTGCTCATCAGACCCGCACAATCGCTCGCTAGTCCATAGGCTGCAGGCTGCCAGCAGCCATGGAGAGCGATGAAATGGCACAGCCCCGAGCCAGCGAGGCAAGACTGAGACCAAGTCCCAGGGGGCTATTCCACCCACATGCTATAGGGCAGCAGCGAGTGGAGTTGCAGTCAGCTGAAGTGCAGCCTAGAGCAGCAGCCAGCAGCGTGGCTAGACCAGCTTAGAGATGGCCACACAGCACACATGGCAACGAAAGGGAAGCAATGGCAAACCCAGGCCCAGCCCGAGGCTCGTTACGGTGCCTGGAGATCCTGCTACATGTACTGGTAGCTCACAGCATGTAACCTGACACTGCGGGGAGTACTGGGGCTCTCTGAAGCGGTCTCAGGAAGAGTTACCCCACCTGTTAAGAACACAGGCACAGGCGTGTACCCAAGGGCTGAATTTAGAAAAGGGGCAAAAGGGGGCAAACCCAGGCCCAGCCCGAGGCTCGTTACGGTGCCTGGAGATCCTGCTACATGTACTGGTAGCTCACAGCATGTAACCTGACACTGCGGGGAGTACTGGGGCTCTCTGAAGCGGTCTCAGGAAGAGTTACCCCACCTGTTAAGAACACAGGCACAGGCGTGTACCCAAGGGCTGAATTTAGAAAAGGGGCAAAAGGGTGAAG